CTAGGTTTGAATGAATGTGCTCTCTGCATAAGAGAGAGCAAAAGTGTACCTTACTTTCCAAACAGTAGACATCTGCTTTTAAAATTTCTATTAAAAATTGAATTCATGAGATAATTATGGTGTTATATTTTCTTAGGGATCTTCTTTGAAAACCTTAAGCATTGATACAACTTTTAAAGAGAGTTTTAAATTTATATTTACTGGAAATATCTTATGGGCAATAAAGATACATGAAACAAAAACTAGACCTGCATCAAAAACTAAAAATTGTCACCACCAGATAGATGGGTAACAGAGGTTCTCATACTTAGAAGAAGAAATAAAAATAAATCTAGCTAGTAGAATATGAATATAGGTCTGAAAAAGCCCCCCCCCTCTTTTTCCCCATCACAGCCTACCTGTTGCTTCTAAGTACTCACAGAGGATGTTAAAATGGCTACTTTTTCTGCTGTCCAAGCAGATGCCACTGCAGTTGAACTACCCACTACCACCTCCTATCCTGTCCCCAGCTCAGGCTTGGGAGGCTGTTGTTTTGAGGGATGTTGTTAAAATCAGGCATTTTTCCTAATCTTCAGGTGTCTGGTTCCTCAGAGATTCATGAAAAGTTGGTATTAGCTTGGTATAAAAGTAATTGCAGTTTCAGACCATAAATTTTAAATCATTATAACTAGGCTCAACACATCTTTATTAATCAAAATAGGAACCATTACAATCAACACATTTTTGCCAATGAGAAATAAGTGTAAAAACCCATGCTTCAGGATTCGATGAACTCTTGGAAAACATTTTCTGCCTCCTGCTGGTTGTGGAAGCATTTTCTCTGCAAAAAGTTGTCGAAATGCTTGAAGAAGTGGCAGTCGGTTGGCAAGAGGTCAGATGAATATGGTGGATGAGGCAAAACTTTGAAGCCCAATTCATTCAACTTTTGAAGCATTGGTTGTGTGACCTGCGGTCCAGCGTTGTCATGGAGAAGAATTTGGCCCTTTCTGTTGACCGATACTGACTGCAGGGCTTGCAGTTTTTAGTGCCTCTCACTGATTTGCTGAGCATACTCTCAGATATAATGGTTTCACTGGGATTCAGAAAACTGTAGTGGATCAGACAGGCAGCAGACTACCAAACAGTGACCATGACCTTTTTTGGTGCAAGTTTGGCTTTGGGAAGTGCTTTGGAGCTTCTTCTTGCACCAACCACTGAGCTGGTCATGATGGGTTGTTATATAAAATTCACTTTTCATCACAAGTCACGATCTGATTGAGAAATGGCTTGTTGTTATTGCATAGAATAAGAGAAGACTATACTTCAAAATGACAATTTTTTTTTAAAATTTCTGGTCAGCTCATGAGGCACCCACTTATTGAACTTTTTCACCTTTCCAATTTGCTTCGAATGCCAAACAACTGTAGAATGGTTAACATTGAGTTCTTAAACAACTTGTGTAGTTTTAAGAGGATCACTTTGATGATTGCTCTCAATTTGTAATTGTCAATTTCTGATGGCCAGCTACAATGCTCCTCATCTTCGAGGCTCTTGTCTCCTTTGCAAAACTTCTTGAACCACCACTACACTGTATGTTCGTTAGCAGTTCCAGGGCCAAATGTGTTGTTGATGTTGCAAGTTGTCTCTGCTGCTTTACTGCCCATTTTGGACTTGAATAAAAAATCCATTTGAATTTACTTTTTATCTAACATCATTTCCCTAGTCTGAAATAAATAGAAAATAAACAAGTAATAAGTCATTAGCAAAAAACATAAAGCAAGAAATGTGTATTAAAATGATGTATAACATAACCACATTTATTCAAGAATGTATTCCAATATAAAAAGGCAAAGTTCAGCAGTGTAAAACCACAATTACTTTTGAACCAACCTAATAGTTCTTCATTTAGTTGGGCAACAGGTGGCACTAGAGACCATATAATCTTTGCATTTCTAAAACCCATCAGTTTTTACCAACAGCCCAGATCAGGTTAGATCTGTCACTTAAACCATATGCCCAAATGCCTTGTTCTCTTTTCTTCAGTTATACTCCAAGCCCAGGCCAGTTACACTTTGCATGCTCCTTGTGCAAATTGAATGTTGCTGGAGGAACCCCCACTTCCCCGCAAACATGTAGTTTGGGGGAATGTGAACTCATTAGGCTCACTGTACAGTCCTGGACCAACATAGTTTCTTCTCAGTTTTCATTGAGGGTTATTATAAACATCACAAACCCTATTCACTTTAGCAGAGAGATGCATACACACAAATACCACATGTTGGGGTTTGTACTGTGGCAATGAAATAAAAGTTCTAGGTTTTGTGTCTGGGTTGGTGAGATACAGAACAACAACCGTAGGTACAGAATGGCAAGAAGATGCCTAAACAGAACTTAATACAACAGACGTGGGCACTTAGAGGCTGAGATGACCATAATAACATAAACCCCTTGATATTCACAGGAGTCTTTAAAAAGGCATTGTACTCCCCCAGACAAAACATGGAAGTTTTATCCAGATCTTATTTGGATCTGAAGGGTGAAGAAGACTACAGTTGACATCTGGGCGGTACATAGATGGATCTGATCATGTCTTTCTTCTCTTTATAAATCTTTACTCTGTCCTACTACACAAAGAGTGAATTTCAAACATATGAAGATTAGCAGTATAAAAATAAGATTTTGGTCCAAAAATGCCTGGATTCCGCCTTGGCCCTGCCATCAACACAGTTCTCGAAGGAGAAGACAAAACAGGATCAACAACATTTTATAGTCTAAGTGCGTATGGCTGGTAAACCTGTGCACAAAGTTCTGGAAATTAAATGAGCATATGACTTAGGCTTGGGACTTTCCTGGTAGCTCAGCTGGTAAAGCATCCACCTGCAAGGCAGGAGACCCCTGTTTGATCCCTGGGTCAGGACGATCCCCTGGAGAAGGGATAGGCTACCCACTCCAGTATTCTTGGGTTTCCCTGGTATCTCAGATGGTAAAGAATCTGCCTGCAGTGTGGGAGACCTGGGTTTGACCCTGGGTTGGGAAGATCCTCTGGAGGAGGGCATCGCAACCCACTCCAGTATTCTTGCCTGGAAAATCCCATGGACAGAGGAGCCTGGTGGGCTACAGTCTGTGGCATTGCAAAGAGTCAGACAGACTGAGTGACTAACCACAGGAAAGCATGACTGAGGCTCAAAGCCTATGGAGTGCCTCTTCCTTTCCATAAGTTCAACTCATAACTGGCCAGTGTCCAAAGACTCAGGGAAAGAAGTATGTGGTATACAAGTGAAGGGAAAAGGGATTAGGGTGCACCCTAGTGACCTTATTAATTCTGCAGACTATTTTCAAAAAAGCTATATTCTGAGGTACTGAGGGTTGAGACGTCAACACCTTTAACTTTGAGGACACAATTCAATTTGTAACAGGATGAATGCAAATTCATTATTGTATTTGAATACAATAGAAACTCACCACAGGGGTTTGTGCCCCAGTGAATTTGAGGGTGAATTTGGTGAATGTCTTCGTATAGAATTAGCTTCAATAAAAAGGAGCAAGAATTCTGCAAATACTGTGACATATTTTACTAAAGCAAATAAGTAAAGCAACTTCTCAGAAATTCTTTCTACCGTTTTACCTTTTGTTTTGATTCCTTAAACTGTATTCAGAACAAGGGCAGTGTTAGAGGTTTGAGTGCTTATCTCCCATGCCGTCAACACCTGAGAAACATTTATATTATAATTGATCTTGGATAAATAATTCACTTATCTGGGTCTGTGTTCTCTTATCTGTGAAGTGAGAGGACTGAACTAGAGTGTGAATCTCTAGCTCAAAAATCTCTGGTTTATAATTATTTAAAGTTATTTTATTTCCAACCCACTGGGGGAAAGGAAAAAAATATTTGAAAACGTGTGAAGAATATTTGCTGTATAATAATAATTTAATGCAGAACAAAGTGCATATACAGTTGGAGTCAGGAGGCATTTGAGAGAAACCATCACAGGGGCTTTAATTTCTGCCACGCCCATGATTTTATCTATCCTTTCCAGTGGGTAACTATTTAATGAAAGAATGAATTGAGGAAAGACATGACCTGGTGTATACTGGGAACTGTAAATAGTTTGAGTAAATGCAAGAAAACAAGATCTTTTCAACGCAAGAAAACAAGATCTTTTCACTCGGGAGATGTTTACAATGGACAGAGAATTGCTAATGTCTGTCTGTTTCTCAAGTGAATGTGCTTGCATTGTGGCAACCTCGAGTGATAAATGGCTCCATGCATGCATGTGGATGATAAAGACAGCTTGAGCCGTCTCCTTAATATGACTCATTACAAATAGCCCAAACAAAGGTAGTATTTCTGAAAGCCGCGTGATACCCCACGTGCCCTCAAATTTTGCTCCCTTTAAATAAACTATATTTAGGCTGGCCCTGGGACTCATCTCAGAATAAGCAGCAACTGGCGGTTTCTGTAACCCAGGGCTTTCTAGAAGAGAGTGGGAAGGACCTCGTTGAGCAGAGGCAACAGTGAAGGACACTAAGCCCCCAACCACCTTATTCTGTCGCTCTGAGGCACGCCCACCTCTGAGCGCTTGCTATTCCAAGAGATGAGGATGGTAAGGGACCTCGGTTAGGGCTTCCCAGGTGGCGCTAGTGGTAAAATGGTAAAAAACCCACTTGTCAATGCAGGAGACAAAGAAGAGGCCGTCTTGATCCCTGAGTGGGAGAGATGCCCTGGAGGAGGGCATGGCAACCCACTCCAGTATCCTCGCCTGGAGAATCCCATGGACAGAGGAGCCTGGCAGGCTAAGGTCCACAGTGTCGCAGAGAGTCGGACCAGACGGAAGCGACTTGGCACGCACAAGGGCTATTAACGGCCTCCGGCCGGCAGAGGGAACCCAGCCGCAGCGAGAGGCAGAGAGAGCGTCTGCCGGGCGCCCGCCGCGTTGTGCCGCCGCGGAGCGGGGCTCCGCCCATCCCTGGCGGCAGGCCGAGGGGTGGGGACGCCGGCCGGGTCGGGGGCTAGCAGAGCCATGAACGGGGCAGGGTCGGGCCCTCGCCGGCGGGCGCGAGTGTCCCGCCTCGTCTCCTTCAGCGCGACCCACCGCCTGCACAGGTGGGGTGCGCCCTCCACAGGTGGTGGGGACAGGGCCGTGGAGCCCCGGGGCGACGGCCCGCGTGTGGGAGGAGCGGGGCTGCGGCGGATGAAAGGCTGGGTGCGCGCCGCGGCCTCCTTTGGCCGCCAAGCTTTCTTGTTGGCGTCACAGCAGTGGCCGCTGGAGTTGACCCTGTTTCCGCGGTCCCTGTGATGTTCAAGGGAGTTGAATTCGCCCAGGTTACTCAGTGCCAGGCACATCGTAAACGGGCAGAGCGTGCTAAGTCGCTTCTGTCGTGGTCTGAGTCTGCGACCCCTTGGACTAGAGCCCGCCAGGCTCCTCTGTACATGGGGATTCTCCAGGCAAGAGTACTAGAGTGGGTGGCGATGCCCGTCTTCAGGGGATCTTCCCGACCCAGGGCTCGAACCTGGGTCTCCTGCATTTGCAGGAGATTCTTTACCACTAGTACCACCTGGGAAGCCCGAAACACTCAATACGTGTTAGCTACTATAATGTATCAAAAGCGTCGTCTTCCCTCGCTAATGTCGCTACAGCAGGGCGAGTTTTGTCCACTTGTTACTGAACAGAAAATGAACCTGGATATTCACTTTCCCGAGATTAGAAGCACAGTTGGGGTTCTGAACGCAGAGTACTCAGACTGCTTGATTGCACTGAAGAGCTGATTTTGAGGAGGGTGTTGCCACTCACTAGCAAGCTCTGCTGTCTGAGCATGTGTTTCTTGGTCTATAAGATGAAGATAATTTCTACCTAACAGGATTCACCCATCCATTCATTCACTGGAGCAGTATTTGTTATTAGATCTTGGTGCTAGGCAACAGGGATGCAGCAGTGATCAAGACCTGTCACAGTTTTCTGTCTGAAATGTACAAACTGGTCTGTTTTGTGGCAGGTACAGTGAGATAATTTTGTGCAAAAACTTTGTGAACAGTAGCACTCTAAATGTAAGAAGTAGGTGAGCAGGAGAAAGGAAAGTAATAGAATCTCAAAAAGAAAGGGGTTATTTATTAGGAAGCTCAAATGTATGAGAGTGGTAAGGCCTCATTGAAGGTGAACGGTTGACTGGACAGGTATAGGTGCAAAAATCTATTAAGAAAGTGGTTCTCTGCCTGGAACAATAATTGAGTATTGTAATTTTAAAGTTTACCCGGGTTTGAATACCCCTCAATGGATTGGTGGGGTTATCAGTAGGCAATAGTTGAGGAGAAATAAGGCAAGAATTTAAAGAGATGTACTAGGTCATGTAATTATTTTTTTAGGAGGAATGAGTTTTTTATTCAGATTTTTGAAAAACTTATTTTCTGTTGGGGTATAGTCGATTAACAATATTGTAGTTTCAGGTGAAGAGTGAAGGGATTCAGCCATACATACATGTATATCCATTCGCCCCCAAACCAAGAGGAATAAGATTTCAAGCTACATGAGGATAACCATCTTCTTTTTTATTTAAGTTACCGTGTACCACTGCTTCATTCAGCCCATGCCTAGTGTGTAGTAGGTGCAGTCAGTCCCCACTATACAAACCTTCAAGTTGTGTACTTCTTTTTTATTTTATTTTATTTTTTTTAAGTTGTGTACTTCTTAAAGATGCGGACACACACCTGGTTCCAGGAAGGAACCAGAACCTGTGCCATCAGTGTCAGGCGTGCGTGAAGGTGCAGCCTGCTCTTTGTCTCCTGTTGTTGACGATCCTTCAGCTCTACCATTTTCCACCTCCTCTAAGGAAATCAGTCCTGAATATTCATTGGCAGGACTGATGCTGAAGCTGAAACTCCAATACTTTGGCCACCTGATGCGAGGAACTAACTCATTTGAAAAGACCCTGATGCTGGGAAAGATTGAAGGCAGGAGGAGAAGGGGACGACAGAGGATGAGATGGTTGGATGGCATCGCCGACTCAATGGACATGAGTTTGAATAAACTCGGAGAGTTGGTGAGGGACAGGGAGGCCTGGTGTGCTGCATGCAGTCCATGGGTTTGCAAAGAGTGGGACACGACTGAGCCACTGAACTGAACTCCCTCCTCCAGTTACTAGCTCTTTTTGCCTGTTCACTTGATGCTAGACCCTTTACGCTAGCTCTCGTACTATACTACTGTACTTTTCAAGGTATTGTGCTGTAAGATTACAAATGTTTTATTTTTTGTGTTTGTTTTTTATGTATTATTTGTATGAAAAGTCTTCTAAACCTATTACAGTACAAAACTATATAGCTGATTATGTTAGTTGGGTACCTTAGCAAACTTTGGGCTTATGAACACACTCTCAGAATGGTGCTCTTCATATGTGGGGGACTTACTGTGTTCAGTAAAGGTTGAGTTGAAAAATGAAAGGGTCTTCAGCAGATGAGTTTTTGATGTGGAACAAGGATGTTGAATTTATTTATGCTAATTTGTATGGTATGTTAGTTTAATTAGGGGACACATTGTGGTTCCTGACATGAAATTAAGTAGTGAAATTAAATGGATTTATGACTATTTGATGCGCTAAAGAATAGTAAGTTGTGAAGTTTTTCAAAGGCTAGAGAAAACAGTAAGTGTAGGGGACAGAGAAGGTATCAGAACTTATGTCATGTTGATTTTTTTTTTTTTTGTCAGCAAATCTCTTAGTAATGAAGAAAACTTGAAATTATTTGGGAAGTGCAACAACCCAAATGGCCATGGGCACAATTATAAAGGTGAGAGAAAAACTGGTGAAATTTTAGCCCTTTCAATAATGATGAATGACTGTTCAGCAACTTTGGTCTTAATGAGTAAGAAGCTTTATGGACAGAGCGTGAATGCTTTGAGTCTTGAATGAGAAAATAAGTGAAAGTTCAAAATGAAAAGATCTGTTGCCTTAGTTGGATGTATCTTAAGTTATAGTTCAAAACAGAATGGTTTAAATAATTTTTTCCTTGGCCTTCCAGTACATGACATTCTTTTGGCACCATGTTTGCTTCTAATTAGGGATTGCTGAGGTCAATGTTAAAATTAGATTGTATTCACTGTGTAAGTAATGACTGACAAAAAGAGAATATTGGCTCAAGATATGCTGTATGACAGGAAAATATGTTGGGTCTAAAACTTTGACAGCAGTGTTCTAAGGAGGTAATTAATTTATGCAAGGACAAGAGACTTGTTTATTGAGATAAGATGATATAAAAAAAATAGCTGTGTAAGCCATAGAGTATCACAGCAAATGATATGGTGGAGTAAAAAGACCAGAAAAGATGTCAGAATATTGGGCTTTTATGTGTAGTTACTGTCTCTTACTTGATCTGTATCTCTCATTCTGTCTGGTCACTTATCACATACCTAATGGTGTTTCTATGAAACTGAAAGAAAATATGTAAAAGTCATTAATTTGCAAAGCACTCTGATCAAGATCTTTCAAAAGTTTCACTTTTTAAAAATTAATTAATTTTAATGGGAGAAGAGTTACTTCACAGGGTTATGATGGTTTTTGCCATACATTGATATGAATTGGCCACAGGTACACATTTTTTCAGAAGTACTTGTTAATCTACAAATCATTGCTATACACTGTGTTTACAGTTTTATGAGATAAGGGACACGAGTTTTAGGCCCAGCAGTAGTTTGCTTGCTCAGGAAGGTAGGAGCAGCCCAGTGTGTAGTTGGATGTCTTCCTGTACATTTTCTACTTCTGTAGGCAGTGATTAAGCAGCATCTTGAAGTAGTGATTCCTTCCAAGTACATCATAAGCAAAATTATACCCTTTTTGGCCCTGGCTAGGCACTCTTAAGTTCCTCTGCCATGGCCGAATTGCATTAGTTGATAAAAAGATCTTAACCGAAAGAACAGACATTGTGGGGGGGAATACAGCTTTGTAGAGCTGGGCTCTAAACCTAATTTATGTTGCTAACTTGTGTTTGGATGTTAACCTGTTGAAAGTCACACTGGTTTTTTGGTTCTTTTGTTTTCTTCCCCATAGTTGTGGTGACAGTACATGGAGAGGTACGTGCCAAACTTGTCTGTGGTTTGTGCAGATTGCTGGGCCCTCTTTCAGCCAAAGCAATGGATTCTGTGTTGAAAACTTCTGTTCAGATTCGTGTTGCCTCGTTGTTGGTCTTTGTGTACGGTGAGCTGCTGCCATTTCAGGCCTGTCCTCTCCCAAAGCATCGTCCGTCGTGTGCTGTGTGTGGACAGGTAGAAGGGCGGTGCCGTGGAAGGGGAGCCTCGAGGACCTGGTGTTTCCATGCTGAGATGGATTGTCATGGGGACGAAGGCAGTGTGGGACCAGGTTCCACACATGTTGCAGTCTTATGGAGGTTAAAATATGAAGAGCATGCTGTAGTAATACTCACCTTTGTTTTTTCTTTAGATTGATCCTGTTACAGGCATGGTCATGAATTTGACTGACCTCAAGGAGTGTATGGAGGTAATGGCATGCTGGATGCTGTTTTGTGCTATCTTCTGAGTATAAAATTTGATGGCCCCCTTTTCACTTCCCCAGCCAAGTACCATCGGAGGTCCCGTGACTTTTCAGGTGGAACTGGGTGTGGGAATGGGGTAGTATTAATAGTTGGAGGAACTTCTCTCAGTGTTCTCTAAAGGTGTTGGGATGGCTGAATGGAAATTAGTCATGGTTATATTACAATGACAGGAATGAAATGTAGTGTGTTCATCTTGTCTTCTTTGTTGACATATCCTGATTTCCTCTGTTTAACAAATTCTTCCCTTCTTTCAGGACACTTTATCCTTGAAGCTTTCTATTCCTGAATTTTCCTTATATCTTTAATCAAAAATTTTAATACTATCCTGTTTTATTCACTCTAGCTTTACTATAAACTCACTGGGGCAGTTGATGATAGGGATAACAAAAAAGAAGGTTTTCATTAAAAGACTTAACTGCTTATATCATTACAGAATTCTTGGATTGTAAGAGACTGCAGAGGTTATCTATGCCAGCTTCTTCCTTCCTTTGACTGAGAGTGAGAGACACTGAATAGTTAACGTCCCCTACTTGCCCTCAGTCGTGTAATTAATCCTTTGCAAAGTCGGGAAGTAGATTTCCTTCCATCCAGCTTGGTTTTTATATGCCATCATTTTACCTGTTTGTTGTGCTTCAGCTTTGCTCCTTACTTTTGCTTTAAAATTTGACATTTGTTTAATTAAAAATGTTATTATGAATAATCATTACTTCTTTCATGTTGCTTATCTTCCATATATTTAACAAGTTTGCCTGCTTTGCATCAGTCTTTTAGCTGAGCACTAGGAATCCAATGATGAATGAGACATAACTCTTAGCCACAGCATGCTCACATGACTTTATAGCAGGTGAAGAATGCTAAGTGTTAAGTGTTGGTTGAATAAATGAATAGGAGAATGAGTGAGTGAGCGAACAGTGCTGTGCTCAAAGTACTTTAGGAAAGCTATAAGACAAAGTTCTTGCAAACACTAGTGACATAAAATAAATATATATACATTAAGGTTTATAAGAAACACCTAGACAGGCATACAGCGAAATACCAGAGGAGAAATTCTCTGCACTTTTTTCCCATCTTTGCGTACCTAAAGGACGCTGCATACCACATACTTTACTTTTACATTAGTAAAAGTGGCTTATGACAGACAGAGACAAATTAGAAAGAGCCCTGTAGGAGAGGTCTCAATAGAAAAGTTGGGATCTGAACAGGAGTTTTCAGTTAAAACAAAGATTAAACAAGGATTTATTTTCTTGATATCCATGTGGATATCATTAATTTAAAGTTTGTTTGGCTTAGGACTTACTCTTTTTATATGATTCTGATTTTTCTCAGAAACTGATTGTTATTGTTATTATATACCCTTCTTAGAACCATACCATATGGAAACTTAGATTGTTCCACGAATTCTTTTTTTTAAATTGAAGTATAGTTGATGTATAATATTATATGTTATGGGTGTACAGTATAGTGATTGACATTTTTTAAAGTTTATACTCCATTTATAGTTTATAAAATATTGGCTGTGTTCCTCATGTTGTAGAGTATGTCCTTATAGCTTATTTTATATGTAATAGTTCATACCTCTTAATCCTCTATGCTTTTATACCCTTCCTCCCTTCTCTCTCCCCACTGGTAACCACTAGTTTTCTTCATCTGTGAGTCTATTTCTTTTTTGTTATGTTCACTAGTTTATTAATTTTTTAAGATTGCTTAGGTTTTTTCAATAGCTAAAAGTAAAAGTTTACAAAAAGTGAAATGAAAGGAGTTGCTCAGTCATGTCCAACTCTTTGCGACCCCATGGACTGTGGCCTAACAGGCTCCTCCATCCATGGAATTTTCTAGGCAAGAATACTGGAGTGGGTTGCCATTTGCTTCTCCAGGAGATCTTCCCAACCCAGGGATTGAACCCAGGTCCTCCCGCATTGCAAGCAGACACTTACCATCTGAGCCACCAGGGAAACTTTACAAAGAATAAGGCAATTACAATTCTTGCCATTGACAAAGAAAAATGCTGTGTATAATATATATAAGTATTAAGAAGCCAGTCTTTACATGTTTTTAGTTTTCTTTCTAAGAGCCCAGGATCATTGTTAAATTACTCCTATGGCAGAAACTCAGAACACCTTACATAATTTCAGTCTTAATCTGCTTTATAAAATGTAGTACTCATTGAAGGTGTGTCCTAACTATATTGTGGCATTGTGCTGAAGGTGAGACTGTTAGAGAAAAGTATTTGTGGTATCATTTTGGACAGAACTCAAGAAGTGTTAAACTAAATTTTGAATCACAGAGGCTTGTTATGAGAAAGAACCAGTGAATTCTCTATTTTTTGGATTCTTACCTCTCTGCATTCAGTAATGAGGATATCCAGCCATTATGGAGAGCTAGGCCTTTTTTTATTTTACAACTTTAAACTTTCTGAGATTGTTTTGTAAGACACAAAGTTCTTGCAAGTACTGAGTTAGTCACGAGATGATAAGGTAAGATTTAGAGGCGAAGGTAGGACACTTTGAAATATGGTTCATAAATGGAATCAGTGATATTTTTCCTTTGTTTTGTCTGTAGGAGGCGATTATGAAGCCCCTTGATCATAAGAATCTGGATCTAGATGTGCCATATTTTGCAGACATTGTAAGGTGAGTGACTGTTTTATTTTATATAAATAGTAAGAAAGAAGAATTTATTTTAACATTTTACTTGATGATTGTGTGACTTTTTTTTTTTTTAGTGTAATGATATCTTTTGAAACTAGAATTTTTATTCTCTGTAAATATTAAACATGAAGTTTCGCTTATTTGTCTTTTGACCTTCTTTCCTTTTCTTCTCCAGCACAACAGAAAATGTAGCCGTATATATCTGGGAAAACCTCCAGAAATTTCTTCCTGTGGGAGTTCTTTATAAAGTAAAAGTATATGAAACTGACAATAATATTGTGGTCTATAAAGGAGAATAACTCCTAGAGATTAATTTCCATCCATATTTGAAGATCTTTATCCCCTTGAATAGTTAAGAAGTCATCACCTAACTGTTGTACTTCCACATTGTGTTCTGGAGTCACTGTGAGTGAGTCCTGTTCTAGACTCAAATCTAATTTAAAACCAAGTTTGTAATGTATTCTGAGTATCATTTAAAGAGTTGTTCATCTATAGATTAAAATCACTTCAGCAAAATGTTCTGGTGTAGAATTATTTGGAAGCAAAAGAAATGGTTTTTTTTTTTTCCATTATCTCATTTTTAGTATTCATTTTTTCTTGGTATAATATAAATGGCAAAAATGTTTATAAGACTGACAGTAGGTGAATCTTATAAAAAATACCAGTGACCACAAAGTCTGGAAACAGAGACTACATAGTATTTCTAGTAGATTGAGCTCCCTTGATTACTTCTTCTAGGATATGCTAAACATGTTCCATTGGAAAAGGGAATGGCAAACCACTTCAGCATTCTTGCCTTGAGAACCCCATGAACAGTATGAAAAGTCAAAAAGATATGGCACAGAAAGATGAAATCCCCAGGTTGGTAGGTGCCCAATATACTACTGGAGAAGAGCAGAGAAATAGCTCCAGAAGGAATGAAGAGGCTGAGCCAAAGCAGAAACAGTGCCCAGCTGTGGATGTGTCTGGTGGTGCAAGTAAAGTCTGATGCTGTAAAGAACAGTATTGCATAGGAACCTGGAATGTTAAGTCCATGAATCAAGGTAAATTGGAAGTGGTCAAACAGAAGATGGCAAGAGTGAACATCGAATTTTAGGAATCAGTGAACTAAAATGGACTGTAGTGGGCTAATTTAATTCAAATGACCATTATATCTACTACTGTGGACAAGAATCCCTTAGAAGAAATGAAGTAGCTCTCATAGTCAACAGAAGAGCCCAAAATACAGTACTTGGGTGCAGTCTCAAAAATGACAAAATGATCTCTGTTCATTTCCAAGGCAAACCACTCAATATCAAAATTCATTATAATATCAGTAATCCAAGTCTATGCCCCAACCACTAATGCTGAAGAAGCTGAAGTTGAATGGTTCCTTGAAGACATATAAGACCTTCTAAAACTAACACCAAAAAAAGATGTCCTTTTCATCATAGGGGACTGGAATGCAAAGGTAGGAGGTTACGAGATACCGGGAGTAATAGACAAGTTAGGCTTTGGAGTACAAAATGAAGCAGGGCAAAGGCTAACAGAGTTTTGCCAAGAGAATGCACTGGTTATAGCAAACACCATTTTCCAACAACACAAGAGATGACCCTACACATGGATAGGGCCAGATGGTCAATCTGAAATTAGATTGATTATATTTTTTGCAGGCAAATGTGGAGAAGCTCTATACGGTCAGCAAAAACAAGACCAGGAGCTGACTGTGGCTCAGATCATGAACTCCTTATTGCAAAATTCAGGCTTAAAGAAAGTAGGGAAAACCACTAGGCCATCCAGGTATGACCGAAATCAAATCCCTTATGCTTATACAGTGGCAGTGACAAATAGATTCGATGGATTAGATCTGATAGAGTGCCTGAAGAACTAGGGACAGAGGTTCGTGACATTGTACAGGAGGTGCTAAGCAAGACCATCCCCAAGGAAAAGAAATGCAAGAAGGCGAAATGATTGTCTGAGGAGGCCTTACAAATAGCTGAGAAGAGAAGAGAAGCAAAAGGCAAAGGAGAAAATGTGCACGCTTGGTCAGTGAGGATTAGACCTGAATCGTCCGGCACAGTTCGTTATAAGTGAGTGTATGGGGACTGACGGAGGTGCCTTTTGGTCGTGCATGCTGTTCACTGCAGATCTGCTCACGGAACCCTGAACTGCTAGTGAGGAATGCTGAACATACCACAGAAGAGGAGCAAACTGCTCTTGTGTATTTGTCTGTTTTTAGACCTTACGGCTACCTGAACCGTTTAAACTCAGAAGACTGAAAAATAATCACATGTTTTAAACCTTGTTAAGATAATCAGCATGAAAAGGATATGTTACTCTGTACAGCATCTCTTTATGGAAGTTCTTCCTAGTTAATCTTGTTTTGTTCTGATCACTAAATCACCTGCTTCAAGTTGAGCTGCTTTTGTGGCATTCATCTCTGGTATCTTTCTTCATGCCAAAATCTACAAGAATATATTTGCTTTCTTCCCATAAAGAACAGTTCTCACTTGTGTTCTCATTTGTATTTTAAAACCAAGTTCCTTAAATATAGGGTTCATTTTTCTCTTCACATAGCAACTAGTACACAATGGATTCTTAGAATGCCGCTGCCTGAAAAGAGTAAAAGGGCTTGTGCCATGATTAGTACACTAAAAAAATTTCCAAAGGAGTATACTTTGGAGAGTTTAACTGCATGTATTTTACAATCAATTTTGACAGTAATATGATGCCCACTTGATCAAATTTGAATGTCTTTTAGTTATCAGCACAATTTTTATGTTACTTAACATATATTTTGTATAGATTACTTGATAGGCAGGATAACAATAATTTGGTAAGGCAATTTATGTTTTAATTTTTAAAAATTCCATTCAAGGTGAGTGTTACTTCCATTTTACAGATGAGAAAATTGAGACTGAGTTGAGTTTTAAGCTACTTGCCTAAACTAACTCAGCAAAATAAGTAGTAAACTGAGTGATGCTCAGTCTGACTCCCAAGTACAGGCTTAAAAAAAAAAAAGTGTGTACATTTCAATACTTTTTTGATACCAAATTGTGCAGATTTGATATCATGTTAAAAAAACATTTTTTTTTGTGGTAACAGTCACTCCAGGTATTTGTGTTCATGAGTTGCTTCTAGAAAACATTTTTCTCCTACTTGCTCTTCTTAGGAAAGTGAGAATTTTATTTATCTACTGTTTATCTATCTGTCTAGTAAATGAGTGAGTGAGTAGATGAGTGAATGTTCAAGGATAGGATATAGATCTTTTTCAACTCTCCATAGAACTGCTGTCAGAGACCTTATCAAAGAATATTGTAATTATTGCTTTGTTGTCTAGTCACTAAGTCATGTCCGACTCTTTACGACCCCATAGCTGTAGCTCTCCAGTCTCCTCTGTCCGTGGGATTTCCCAGGCAAAGATACTGGAGTGGGTTGCCACTTCCTTCTCCAGGGGGTCTTCCCAATCTAGGGCTCAAGCCTGTGTCTCCGTCTCCTGCATTGCAGGTGTGTTCTGGGAAGCTTTACTGTTTTGTTTTTTCACTGCCCTGATAACTTGTGGGCAAAATTAAGCAGAATATCTGGTAAATAGTATGCAATAATTTTCATTGATTAAATGAATGGTGTTTGTTAGAAACTGCTGAAATTTTACAGTATCTTATACATAGTGGTAAATATTTTTACAATTGAGTAACATGAAAACATTGAGCCTCGAGTCCTAGTCTGAGTGCTGTTACCAAATAGCTTTGTCCCTTTCACCTCAGAGCCTTAGTTTTCCAAAATGAATGTTGGACAGATGTTTTCTGAAGTTGCTTTTGCCTGATCTTAGATTTTATATCTCAATGATTTTAAATACCAAATGGGTATTAGAGATGGGAAAAGATTATTGTGGGGTGGTGAGGTTCGGAAAAGCTTAGTGGAGGAGGTTAGTCCTGAATGGTGCTTAAAGTGATGGGACAGGGAGGTGGAATAGTTTAGAATTGAGAAGAAAAGGGGAAAAACTGAAAGGGTAAAATTTTGTAAGTGAGGTAAAATTTTGTGAGTGAGATCACCAATGTGATCATGTGCTAAGTGTATTTGGTATATAGTGAATAGATTAATATTTTTACACATTTTAAAATTAAAAATTTTTATTTTTAATTGGAGGAAAATTGTTTTACAATATTGTGTTGGCTTCTGCCATACATCAACATGAATCAGCCATAGGTACACATGTACCCCCTCCCTGTTGGACCTCCCTCCCACATCCCACCTCTCTAGATTGTCACAGAACACCGAATTTGAGCTCCCTGTGTCATCCAGCAAATTCCCACTGGCTGTCTAATTTTACATTTAGTAATGTGTACATTTCAATGCTGCTCTCTCAATTTGTCACACCTTCTCCTTCCCCGACTGTGTCCACAAGTCTGTTCTCTATGTATGCTTCTCCACTTCTGCCCTATAAATAGATTCATTAGTACCATCTTTCTAGATTCCCTATATATGTGTTAATATACAATGTTTGTTTTTGTCTTTCTGACTTATTTCACTCTATAATAGTCTCTAAGTTCATCTACCTCATTAGAACTGGCTCAGATTTGTTTCTTTTTATGTTGTTCAGTTCAGTAAGTCATGTCTGACTCATTGTGACCCCATGGACTGCAGCACACCAGGCTTCCCTTTCCTTCAGTATCTCCTAGAGTTTGCTCAAATGCATGTCCATTGAGTTTGTGATGCCATCCAACCATCTCATCCTCTGTTGCCCCCTTCTCCTCCTGCTCTCTAGCTCCTAGCATCAGCGTCTTTTCCAGTGAGTCGGTTCTTTGCATCAGATGACCAAAGCATTCCTTTTTATGGCAGAGTAATATTACATTGTATATAGGTACCACAACTTTATCCATTCATCTGTCAATGGACATCTAGGTTGCTTCCATGTCCTAGCTATTGTAAATAGTACTGCAATGAACATTGGGGTACATGTGTCTTTTTCAGTTATGGTTTCCTCAGGGTATATGCCCAGTAATGGGATTATTGGGTCATATGGTAGTCTTACTCATAGTTTTTTAAGGAATCTCCATACTGTTCTCCATAGTGGCTTTATCAATTTGCATTCCCACCAACAGTGTAGGAGGGTTCCCTTTTCTCTATGTCCTCTTCAACATTTACTGTTTGTGAGTTTTTTGATGATGGCCATTCTGATCCGTGTAAGGTGATACCTCATTGCAGTTTTGGTTTGCATTTCTCTAATAATGAGTGATATTGAGCATCTTTTCATGTGTTTATTAACCATCTGTATGTCTTTTCTGGAGAGATGTCTGTTTAGGTCTTCTGCTCACCTTTT